CTTGAATACTGTCCTCTTCACTCACTTATCCCATTTATCGTTGGCAAAATTCTACTCTTATTTCCAGATAACTCAATTTTTCTGTCCATTCTGAGCCTTTTCTAAGTCCTTCAGGCAGACTCGGCTGTTCCTAACTTTATGCTAGTTTGTCAATAATTATCACTTGACAGTATATTTGACATTCTACCTGTCAGTGTCTCAACCTATCTGCAAGTTCCTTGAGGGCAGGAACCATTTCCTATTTATCTCTCTACACCTAGTGCTTAGCTTACCATTTTGTCCATACAATTTGCTTGTTTCCACCTCCACTGATACTCTGTTCTCGGTCTCTGCAGGGGAGTTAATTTATTTTTCCTCCTTTAACATTTAGCTAAAGATGTATTTTTCTCCATTAAATTTTACCTGAGTATACTAACTTTACTCTAATCACTCCTTTATTTCGTTACGCCCTCACTGCTTGTAGAGGACTTCTTCCAACAAACATGTCTGTGCTTTGATGATTTCGATTCCATTCCTTCTAGTTCTACCACTCTAAAACATTTAAGGATCCTCTGCTGAAATCATCCATAGCAGTGTTTAATAAAAATAACTTCTGTTAAAAGACCTATTTTTTATGCTTGGAGAAGCAGTCAGACATCTATTTACATAAATTCCAAGATTCTTGTTCCTGCCCAAATCAAATACTCTTCCAGTGAGCAATAGCAGCAGAAAAGGGAAAACAACAGCAGAAAGGGAAGAACACCAAGCCAGCTAAAGTGTGAACTCTAAAGAAAAGAACTTCTGAAATCTACTGACGATAAGACAGAAAGCTGAAATTCCCCAAACTAAGGGAAACCTCTCCCTCTCTTCCAACTCATCCCCTTTCTTTCTTCTGCCTCTTAATGCTGAAGAGCAGTGCTACCCAGCTCCTTAAAAGGCTTGAGAAGAACCAGAAAGAAATCAACTTGCCCGTGGAGCTTCTGGGATAGATTAACCTGTTGTATTGCAGCAGTTCTGGAGGAGAGGAAAAGAAGGTGGCATATAAAATATTCACGAAAGTTCTTTAATGCTCAGTGCCCTAAAAACTAAGAAAGAGTCTAGTAAGTAAAATTGGAAGGGCTTCACTACATTCGTGTTCCCTGTACTGTATGCTGCCTTGTAAATGCTCCTATTCTTTCTCACTTTACCTGTTTCTGCGGAGTCGATTCCAACTCATGGCAACCCCATGTGTTTCAGAGTAGAACTGCTCCAAGGGGTTTTAAACAGCTGTGATCTTTTGGAAGTAGGTCACCAGGCCTTTCTTCTGAGGCACCTCTGGGTGGATTTGAATCACCAACCTTCCAGTCAGTAGCCAAGCACAAACCATTTGTGTAACCCAGGGACCTTTTTTCTCACTAAACACTGTGTTTTCCTTAGCTAGACTAAAAGTCCCTGGATGTCATCAATCATGTGTATTTATTTGATAGCCCTCAAATTGCCCACCATACAGAGTACACAGTGTATGTTCAAGAAATGTGTTGACCACCTGGCTACCAAGGTTTTAACTATTTTTCTTCCCCTCAGTATTTTTCAGGAATGATTATTATTCATAAAACAGGGGAGTCTTGGTAGCCAAGAGGAAGTGTTCATCTGTTGGTATACATTTTCCCTCGACTATGCATTATACAGAGATTTCCTCTGGAAATATAAACAGAGGATGCCTAATGAGACAGGACAAAGAACTATATATAGAGATCAAGTGGCCAGAGTAGCAAGGTCAAAGCATGCCCTTCCTTAACCAGATTAAAGGGAGTTTTGGGTCAGCCTCTACCACCTTCCCATGCTCTCCAGTCCTGACAGAAAATATTTTCCAGCTGCCCATCTGCTGGATCCTGAAAACTGGGCAGCAACTGTAGCATGCTACATTAACATGGAATTCAGCTAACAAATCTCTGGTGATACTAATCTCTGTTTCTGTAATAATAGAAAGACTGCAGTCCTGTTTACTTTCTGAGGAGAATAGAGGACAGGGAGAAAGGGCCAGGATAGAGAAGCAGTATTTATGGCCTCGTTTTGAAAAGTCAATCTGTGACAAAAACATTTGCAGACAATAAAGAAGGGGAACAGGTTTGGCAGGAAAATAGCCTATTCCAGTTTTATCAGAAGTGCCTTAACTAGTATCCTCCACCTCCGCCCAATTTGAAATGCCTGGTTTACATTGTGAATATAGTCATTCCCTATAGACAAATCTGGATTAGATACAGTGAGACAACTTCAAATCACCTTTCAGGGTCTGGCTCTCATGATGGCAGTCTCCTACTATGAATTTCATTTTATAAAGTATTTATAAGTATTTATGAAGTCTCAAGTCCCTTCTTTAACTGCATTTCTAATCCCAGGGCTTGTCCTGAAGCCTTTTGGACACACAGGCTCTGTGATGAATGAGTATAATAAGTACCCTGGATTCACCCTATTATTAAGGGGAAGTTAAGGGCACATCCCTAACCTTTCAGAAGAGATGATGTTATAGAAGACAGCTATAGTCTTCCATAAACCATCCCTTAGGGCCTCTGTCAAAGACAGAAATCCTAAACTGAATAGACTATGGAGCTAACTCCCAATCTCATCCTGACATGTAATGCCATATTTCACTATTCATGCATCAGTTAATACGTTTACCCCATTGTCTATATTTCCTGCACATGTGTATCTACATCAGGTGGATTTCATATTATGTAAGCCCTCAGAGGGCAGATATTGTGTCTATGCTGTTTTCTTTGTACCTGCTACAGTGCCATATATAAACAGATATTTTTAAAGGTTGACCATTTGTGTAGCCAGAGCAGTGACCTACATGACAGGATCTAACAAGCATTCCCAAGGGTGCCTCTTAAATACTTCTTTTGTTGGTTCATCATGGGGCTACTCTTCCCTCCTATTTTACTCCTACTTGGCAGCACTAGTGTAACTTCTTAGAGTTCACGCAGGAATACTAACTCAGAAAGGCACTGTTAAAAGATCACTTGTTTTCTAGAAGGCCAGAATGAGTCCTCCTCTACTAACACAGTGATGGATTGTTTTATAAAATTAACTCCAGCCACTTGAATAGAGTAAGGCCCAGAATATAAAGGTTTGACTGGTGGGATGAGCTGGGAAAGGCTGGAACCAGGCTATGATTGGGTGAGGCTGGCCACAGTGATAAGCTTCCCAGGGATGGGGAGATGTTAGGGAGGTCCTAGAGTGGATAAGCAATGACGATAAGCTGCTTACTTCGTTATTTTGACTACAACATGCTCTGTACAATAGAGTCTTTTTGGTGAGAACGTAGAAGGTGATGATTATAAGTTCTAACCACATTTTATTCTCTATTTGCTGTTACCCTACCCTCAATCATGCAAATTCTAAACCAAGGGATCCCTTATTTTGTCTCTTGCTTACAATACTCCCTTGTCTTGTCAACCAGTGTGGATTTCCTATACTGTAATCTAACAGCATAATCAGAAGCTTTGATAGAGTGGAACACAGAGGGGTTTTGGTTAGCTGAAAGCTAAATATTTTTTCTCCCCTTTTGGAGTGGGGAGACAGTAGAGAAAAAGAAGGGACTAAAGGTAACCATTCATAGAATCATGGCCTATGAAGTCTGGAAGAGACATTGGAAGTCATGCAGTCAGCTCAAGCCCTCATTTTATAGGTAAGGACACTGAGCCAAGAGGCTAAACGACTTACTCATTCTTACAGTTACTTGCAGAGTCAAGTCTAGAACCCAATTTTCCAACTCACATTCCAATGTTCTTTCTTTTCATTTCTTATGCTTCTTCTTAATTCCTCCACCCCATTCCACAATCTCAAACCTTAGCTTAACGTTACCCTATGTACCCTCTGTATAGCACCTCTCTCTTCTGCAAATGTAATGTCCATCAGGGATTAAATTGCTATAGTATGTTCATCATGCAAGTATACCCTACTGAAAGAAACTCAATACTTTTAAGAAATGCAATCAAGGGGTGCTTATTCATATAATAAGAGGATTCTTTGTCTTACAAGAAGATTCTTCACAGTCTCTTAAATAGGAAGTTCCAGGTGGGATTAAGATATCAGATCTTAATAAAATTATTTTATTGTTTAAAATAAACTTGTACCCTTATACTTATCCATCATACATGTAAGATTAGAACTAGACTAGTACTGTTGTTAATTGAATTAGGAACATTTTTATCCAACCACTGCCTATGAGGAGTCTTACAATAATTTACCCAACCCTGTTTACACTTTACCACCACCTCTTCCTCAAATCGACACAAAACCAAATGTTATGGCTGAAGTTTCATGCTCTTGAGAAGAGAGAAATAACAACCTCTTTCTCCTATTACACTCACTTACGAGGAGGGTTGACTCCTCTCCTAAGCTATGCTCTAACATTTGATGTAGGTAACAATTTTTGAAAACCTTACACTGGTATAGCACTTTACAATTCACAGAAAACTTTAACATATATATCATTTGCGGATGACGAGAAGAAGTGGGAAGTTAATGAGTGAGGACCAGTAGGGTGCTTGGCATAGGTAGGACCGTGGGCAGGGGATGAAGGGATGACAGGCTAGGAAGAGGAGAGAGAAGCATAATATTGTGACAGAAACAATATTTCACTGAACAAATCTCCTCTACCCCAACAACTCAGGCTTCCCAACTTGCCTAAAACACTAATCTCTTTAAGAAGCTACAACGTCCAGTTTGATGAGGGAAGAAACACACTTCATGTCTGATTCTCATGTCTGCCTGATGTTTAGAAAGAAGGAATTGCCCCCTTGGACTATTGTCTCCCCAACCTATCACCACCTCCTCCTTTTTTTTTTTTTAAACAATGGATATCTGTCACTTTTCTTGGAACAAGCATCCTAAAGGAATGAGATTTCTAGAAGTACCATTCAGTCCTTCACTCCAAATGGCTAAGCTACACTATGGCAAAACTAAAACTAAAGTTCCCCCAAAGGAGAGCCCAATCCAGGTCCTCTGAAAGAATCACAAATGTTTCTGTTACATACCTCAACCTGTTGACAGATCTGTATTAGCTTGGCCATTTGATTTTCTAGTTCACTGTTGCGCTTAACCAGGTTGGTGAGGTTCATCTCCAGAGTTTGCTGCCATCATCAAGTGTGAAGCCAGAGTAAAACAGGAATAGGGGAAAAAGAACAAACATTCAATGAGCTCGAGAACAAGTATCATGTGGATTAGGCACTCATTTGACAAATTATTTCAAATATTCATTGAGTACTTGTGATGTGCCAAGCACTGTTCTAGAATTAATAATGCTGTACATTTACTCCTGACTGTCATCATAAGGGGAAGACTACATTCATGACTTTGTGGATATAGGAATTTAATGACATTAAAACAATCTTATGTTTTGTACAATATTTTTAACTTTTCAAAGTATTTCACAGTCAATATCTTATCTTGCCCTCATAGTAATCCTATGACATAGGGAGAATAGGTATTATTATCTCTTTTAAAGATAAGTAGACTAAGAAAACTATAATTTATTAAAAGATTACAACTTTCCAGACCCTATACTAGGCAATTTCATATATATCATTTAATAATCATGACGTAGGTGATGTCAGCATTTCACAGATGAGAAAACTAAGCTTCAGAGTGGGAGTGAAGTGTTTCTGCACAGTCATATAGCTGGTATGTGGCAAAACTAGGACTGGAACCCAGGTCTCTAGCCCTCAGTTATAGCTTTACCCCAGTATTCCATGTTTTTGTTAATAAAAGTTTGTATTTATCAGTAGATAGCTTCAAAAATAAAAAGATGGTATTTAAGTTAATAAAAATCTAGCATTGTATCTCACAGCTTTCCTTCTTTGGCACTAAGGAATGGTCCATGGAAAAGCCAGACTTCAAAATACAAAGCCTGACTATATCAAGATAAACCATATATTGCTTATCACTGCTTACTGGTACGTAGTCCTTTAAGATACATATTAGAAACAGTTTGCAAATCTGTTTTATTTAATGTAGTTATACACCCACTCCTCACTTAATCAACACGGTTAGGTTCCAAAGACCAGGTCGTTATACAAAAATCAGCATTATGTGTGAAAATGGAGGATGACCACATCAGATCACAAAATGGAGGATGACTACATCATTATATAACTGCCAAATCACATCATTACATAATTGCCAAGCTGCATCATTGCATAACTGCCAAACTGCTAAGAATCAAGGCCCAGCCAAGTTGACACATAACTTTAACCATCATGGCCAGCATTACTCTCACCTCGCACCTTGGCATTCCTTACTACCAGATGTACATTGTTAATGTACAAAATAGTTGGATAGTAGTTTTTTTTTTTTTTTTACTATTGTTGTAAATGCAAAATGTCAGATAACAAGATAGTTGGTAAGTGAAGAGTGGGTGTAGTAGTACTCAAAACTCTAGCATATCTTCAGTTGAGCAAGCTACTCTTTCCTATTCCTTATGTGAAAAATAGAATGCTATTTCACCCTAGGTTGATCATGGGCTTTTTTATTTCTCCCCGTTCCCAGGTCTTCAGCTCTGGCTGTTGCTTCTCCTCTAGGATCTGTCCCAGTATCTTATACTCCAATCTTACCCTCCTTCCCAGCACCCCACAAAATCTGTTCCAAATGTAATATCCCAAGTTCCTGGCCCATATTCTGCTAGCATTCCTTCCCTTAGTCGTGTCCGTTGCTTCACTGATTCCATTTTCCTCTGCCTGGAGCTAGTGTCTCCTCTAAACTTCTTTAACTCTACTACCATCTCAATCTGTGGCCTTCTTCTTAGCAAAGACAAAGGAAGGAAAGAAGGAAAAAAGAAGGGCAGCAATCATTGATTTGGACAAGTTCTCTAAGCTAAATAGATGTCAGGAAAAAAGAAATGGAAGTTCAGAGATTCAATACAACAAAAAATGTATTCAAGGCACAGTAACTTCACAGATAAAGGGAAGGTGAAATTAAGTTGGGTGTTGAAGGCTAATTAGAACGTTAATAGATAGAGATGGGGCTGCACAGGGTGTTCCACGTGCAGGGAAGATCATGAGCAAACGCAAAAGGAAATGAAAGTATAGGACATGTTCAGGGAACAGTAGTTTAGTTTCACTAGAACAGAGAGTGCTGGGAGACAAGACTGGAAATGCAGATAGAAGACCTGTTACGAAGGCCTTGAATGCCTAGGTGAGGAATTCATACACATTTCTTTAAGCAATGGGGGTTTACCCACAACCTTTGAGCAAAGTAATGTCATAATCAGGGATGTATTTAGGAGATTAACCTAACATCAATACGCAGGGCAGAATGAAACAGGAGAGCCCAAGGGCAGGGACAGTGGTTAGAAGGCAGTTGCAATATTCAAGGTAGTTGGTAATAAAGATCTGGGCAAAGCTACCAGGATAATCAAGAGAAAGGTGGATTTTAAGATAATATTTGTCATTGTCAAATCTGCAGAAGAGTGCAAGAAGTATGAGGATTAATAAAAAGCACCTGTATTTGGTCATCAGAGGTCACTGTGACCTTTCAAAAAAGAAGTTCAATAGAGTTTTAGAAGCAAATGTCAAATTGTACAGGGTTAAAGAGAGGAAACCTGGTGGCACAGTGGTTAAGAGCTCGGCTGCTAACAAAAAAAAAAAAAAAAACTATGTTGGCAGTTTGAATCTACCAGCTGCTCCTTGGAAACCCTATGGGGCAGTTCAACTCTGTCCTATAGGGTCGCCATGAGTCAGAATCAACTCAACTGCAATGCATTTGGTTTTGGTTTAAACAATAAGTCGGTAGTGACAGAAGTGGAGGCTGCAAATCTAGACTCCTCTTCAAAAGTTTGGCCTTAAAGTGCACGTGACAGAGCTGCAGTTTAATGAAAAGGTTCAGCTTAAGTTAAAGAGGGGGAATTGGAATGGACCCAATCAGATGGTGATTTCCCCTAGCCAGAGTAGTCCAGATTCCTAGATCAATGGAAATCCCATGCATCACAAATGAATATATTGACATATTAGGTAAATATAATGTAGATTGATGAGCCAAGAGCAGAAACTATATTAGAAATCTGTGTTTCAAACTATAATGTATCTCCATAAAAGCATGGGATTCCATGGGGAGAATGTTTTCTAACAAGCACACACGACCTGTTGCAACACTTGTCATGAAGCCGATAGCTTATAAATAATTCATACCGCAGAGCAGAGCTAAGATCCCTGCTGTGTGTTACTCATTTATGGCCCAGAACAGAGATTCATGGCTTCTATAAAGCCACTGAAAACAAAAAATTAAGCTGCTGAATGCATAATTTTGGGTCTGTTGAGACTATGGAACTTGGGTTATACCATCATAAAACTGTGGCAAATGGTTACTTTGCTCTGACCCGCTAGCAATTTGCAGAATGCCAGCACATTTTAACAATGCAGAACTCGAACTGGCAAGATGACTCTAATTCCAACCTTACTTCATTAATATGAAAATGCTGTGAAAAATAGATCTTTGGCTAATGAAAACACCATCTGTTGATGGCTTTTTGCCACTGTTTTCTTACACTACGAGACATAATTTGAGGAAAACACCGAACATTTACTTACTCACTTCCTATTCATTTACAGGGAACTAAAGCCTCCTCTCAAATTGGAATTGATTCTCAATAATGAACATATGCAAAGGGAAGCAGAGAATTGAAGCAATTATGCAGTCTATTTCCTCACCCCCTTCTCTATCATGCCTAGCACTGATGAATTATTTAGAACTAAAAACGTGAGGCCACTCTAGGTTTGAATGATTTGATTTGGTCAAGTAATTATCTTGTCTATACTCTGGCTGAATATACAAAGAGCATGTATTATGTATGTGTGTGTATAAAATGTCCTTATGTAAAACTAAACATGTCCCTTTTTTGTTTGTTTGTTTTGAAAATTAGTTTGTTTTGCTCTTTTCTTGTACAGCCCAATTAATGACTAGGCAAGGCTCCCTCTGTCCAAGCCCAGTTAATCTAAATTTCTCAGAACAGTTGAACCGTGACAACGAGTGCCAAAGTGGCAGGGGAGATTGGAATGGAGATATCTGCTGGAGAGGAAGCAGAGGACAGGCAGTTGGCAGGGGGAGCAGGATGAAGTTTCCATTTCCTGCTGTAGGAGTTTACCTCTGGTCCCTTCTGTGCTTCCCCTTTGGTGAGGGTTAGAGCAGCCACTTTATTTCATGAAATTGCGAGATCTCCATCTCCATCTAGATGACTACATCATTATAGCTCTCGCAAAACTGTACATATGTCTAAACAGCACAAAGTGAGGGGAAAATTTGGCTGATTTCCATAATTGAGATTTTAAAAGGCCTGAGTTCGCTAAATTGGCATCCTACACTAATTCAATTTTTAACCCAGTTCCACTTTATTTGTGTTGTATAGACTTGACCTCTTTGAGTTTGGTTTTACGCTTCCCAAAGAGGAAAATGTTTGGCCATTTCTGAGAAAACTAGGCACAAGCTATTCTTCATCCAGACAGCATCCCATAAAAAGAAATGGCTTCTCTAACCCTCTTAAATAATTGTTGCTTTTTTTCACTGCACTAGACACAGGTGATTTCAGGTAACTTTCTCATTGGCTCCCTCAAGAAACCCAGCTATACATTAAAACACCAGCCCTTCATTAAAGCAGGAGGGATTCTCCTTATGGTGCAGACAGGGCCATGATTTCCATTTGTCATGTTTCATGAAGGCACATGTATTCACACATATATGAGCACACTTACACACACCTACCCAACAAAGGAAGTATTGAAGCCTAAAATAGGAGTCAGGGTTTCTGTTCGTTCTATTAAAACACGTAGTATTGTCATCGAATGCTTATATTCTCTCTTGCTTTCTGAAATGTACAAGGATAACATTACCTAAACCTAGACAACTAATGTGGGAATTGAACTTTGCGGAGCCTATGGCATTAGCTCCTTAAAACAGATAGTGGCGGGGAGGGGGGGTGGGTGTGGGAGAACAGAAGAAGGGACGAAAGGCCAACCCACCCCAAACCCGAGCCTTCCAATTGACATAAGACAACTTCATCTTTAAAAATAATCTGGGTCAGTGATCCCATTACTATTCATGGACATGCCATTTTTGACATCACACACTGACATTCCCAGCTCTT